TGAGGGGGACTCGCCTGGTTCCACTTGTTGTTTCGGGGGTTAATGGAAAAGATTTCTAAAGATTTATTGAGGGGGCGTTTAATGACCTGATCGGTTTCACCGTGTGAAAACAAATGATGCCGTAAAACCTCGCTGAGTTAGAGGGAGCTCAGTTTGCCTAAATTAACGACCAAAAAAAAAAAAAAAAAAAAAAAAGGCATTGCAGTTTATAGTTTGTTTTCCCTCTGACACACGTATCGCTCAGTTTAACGCTCTGTCTCCAATATCATTACCTTTAAGGATTTTTTTTTTTAAAAAATATGCACAATTAAAGTTATGACCCGTTTCACTACAGAAACAAAGCAGCACAGCTACAGTAAAATATATATTTTTGACAGTTTAGAAAACTGACAAAACACGTGGTCGACTGTTTGGTAGCAGAGGCATGTTTGGTGGTTAGTATTGATTTCACGTTTGGAAAGTTGTAGATACAACGGATGTGACTTCACTTGACTTTTTCCTCGATCACTTGACGCGTTCACAGCTGTCGTGGCCTGTCTGCGTTGTGGAGTTTTCCTTATGGTTTTCTAAATAAGTAACGTGCGCAATACCAGCCGTGAAAAAGTCAGGACGATTAGCGCGTCCATTCCAAGAAAACAAAGAAGAAGAAAAATGAGAAAAGGAAAAAAGGAGAAGCACACGGTTTAAAAATCAAGATTTAAAGTTTATTTGCTTTGTTTTAATTGGTTATTACAACAATGAAATCATGTAAAAGTACAGTAATTGCTGTGTTGCAGAAGCGTCGAAAATAATTAAGACCTTCAAAACTGAAATGGATCAAAAGCGAATGAAACTATTTCAGAATACAAGAAAAAAAAATGAAACCTGGCAGGAAACTTTCAGTTTCATAAAACCAAAAAGCTTGTGCTGTGATTAAACAAAATAGGCGTGTTTCTCAATCCAATGCAACAAATAATAAACCATCTGCAAAAAATAATGACTTCAAGAACAATTGGCGAAAATATTCCCCTTTTATTTCCAAACTGTGCTTTGGATTTAGGCTGCTCTTACATCTTTAGTTCCCTTCACATATGGCTTGCTGGATATTATTAAAAAAAACAGTGAGCAGAATCTTGTTTATTCCTAAGGCAACAATATACAAATTGTAGAGTGAAAAATGAACTGATCATAGTTGAAAAGGAGAAAGATGAGCAAAGATATCTTGAAATGAAACTCATCAAATCAAATAATAAGCCAACTTCTTTTGCTGAAACCTGGAGAGATCTAAATCAAATTAAAAGGAAATTAGGCCTGCAACCATCAGCCGCACTTGTCTCATTACAGCAGAAAGATAATCCACAAAAGCCTTCAACCATACACACAGTGGGCAGAAAAGGCAGGATTTCAGTGTTCAGTGCGGAAGTTTAACAATGGAAACTGTTTTAAAAAAGGATAGAAAAGGGTAGGAATGTTTGAGAATGTGTGTCTAAGGTATCATATGATTTAGTATGCAATTTGGGGGTTTACTAATGCCATGACACATTAGAAATGCACTCCATTAAGCCTTGAGTGCTTTATAAAACATACCAGCTTTATGGAAAAAAAGATCATGTTTAAGACACGCAGTCAGATTATGTGCAGCTGAGCAGGGAGCTGACTTTGTCACTTCTAAGTACACAAGAAGAGTACTTTGGTGCGAGGAAAAAAACTGATATGTTACATTTCTCCAACATCTAAGGAAATATCATTCCGGCTTAGAATAATATTGAAATCTTGGATTTCATGACATGTGTAAGGCAATATATTGAGGCTTTATGAGTGTTGTGAGCTGACTTCTGGCTCCCGTTAAAATGAGATATCTCACGAACCCATTTTGATGCCTGACTTTAAATGATTTTAAATATGCTCAGTGTCCTGAATTTTCCATATTCAGAACAGGTTGTGTTTGTTTTATTTGTTTCATCACATCCAATCAGCCACAGACATCAATTTCAAGGATATCAAACTGGAGAAAAAGGAAAAAGTATATATATTTATAATAACCAGAGAAATAAGCTCTCCACACTTTTGCAAATCAAACTCATAGATACACTAAAGTAAACACTTACTCACTTACGTGCGCTGAGAAAATATTGGCTTAATATTAAAAAATAAAATCATAGTCATAGTGTCTGTATGAGACACTGCCTTCAAATTTCAGAAATTACGAAAAGTCTCTCTTATTATAATAACTGCAATTCCAAAAAAGAAAAAGAAAAGAAAAAACAAACAGCTTAGAATCACACTCACAAATCTGAATGAGAAAAATGAGGTTTAAAAGTTTTTTTTTGATTATGTGTGTGTGAATGAGTCAAACAATAATTATGAAGCAATCAAAACAACTGCTGTTAAACAAATGAGTTAAGAGTATTCACTCTTATTAAAAAAAAATACTTGCGGTCGGTACAGGATTTAAAAAACTGAAATGATACCAAACTTACCACAATGTACCACACAGCATGAGCTAATTTCAGGGTGAGTGGTCCAGGCTTTAGGACCGGGGGGGATGATGGAGAGGAGACTGAGCGGTGCAGACTGGAGGGCAGGCGGGGCATTAGCTCAGTTCAGGCTGATGTCAGGACAATTAGAGGTGCACCACAGCGCATTGTGCACAGCGCCTGTCAACCTTAATCTCTGCTGCTGTGGCCCGTACCCGCAGCCAGGCCACAGCCCACGGGAAGCGCTAACACTCAGGCCCATATTGCTTTGACAGTTGCACTCAACCAGAAGTAATGCAAAACGTTATTGTGATGTATACACAGTGACCCTGTACTCTTGTCTCTTACAACAAGAAGGCTATGCGTGTGCAGAGTCAGGAAGGGCTGGGAGGAAGAAATGACACTCGGGGAAAACAGTGGGGAAGGAAATCTGGTAGGAGGTTACAGAGGAAGAGAGAGAAAATTAAAAAAAATATCAGAGGACCTTTTCTGCACTTTAACCTCTGCGCCCTCCCCAAATCTCCTCTTGTTTCGAGTCACTGTTGATGGTTCTCTACAAATCTTGGTGCTTGTTTTTGTGGGAGCCACTGCGTGTGGTAACAGAGTTGGAGGTCTCCTCTGCCTCCTCGCCTTCTTTTGCATGGAACTCACTGAAGAACCTGAAGATAGAGTCGAAACTCATCCAGGAAGTCAGCTCATGCCTCTCTGTGCCTGCGTGGAAAAGATAAGCACAAGTGCATACCAAGATATTTACTGACTGTAATGTTATATGAAAGGAAACACATGATCACTGCTAATATAATTTAAATTAAAGCTCTGCATTCTATATACTCACCATGGCAACGTAATAAGTGAAAAGAAACGGACACTATTACATAAGATTTTTAGTCTCGTAAGATTCGCAAACTCCCACAATGCTCCGTGAAGACCTAAACCCTTATGTGTGAGAACGATGGCAGCCTATGACCTGTTAGCCCAATGGGATAGCCTTAATATGTTATTCAAGCGGATACCTGATAATCAACAGCGCTGCACAACCAAGGAGATGGAAAGAGGTCCTTCCAACAAAACTAGATATATACACAATGGGTGCACTAAGTGAAACCAGTGGAGCGGTAGTCATTCGTTCCAAAGGACTAATTGAGAAAAGGCCAGACAGAAGTTGGAGAGCGATAACTAGTGAACATATCAGGTGGTCTGGCAGTGACGGGGGGAGGCAGAAGTGCAGGGTTTCCCTCTGACCTTCTCCAGGTTAGCAAGTTCCCAAGTTGGGGTCACGCTGGAGCTTGAAATCTGGTACATGCGCGTCAGGTTCCTTAGGGCTTGGGTGTCACAGCCCAGCCTTTTAGTTTGATAGCTCAACTAGATGGCAGAACACCTTGGCTGTGCCATCCAGTTGAGCTAGAACTAACAAGTTAGTTGTAACACGGAATGGTTTGTTTGTGCCACCTCTCGTTAGCGTCTGACTACAACTGAACCTGAAAAATGGTGTCCTGCAGTTCACCCGATGCCTGTTATTAGATAAAACTAAGGGTTTCATACTTTGATAGATGGATCTCAGACATGTTTGCACACAGAGGAATGGAGGAAATCAAGAGTGGCTGTAATGAGCTTTCTTTTGTGAATCTTTATTTTCACCTCTGCATCTGCAGCCTTTTCTTCTTAGGGACTTGCATTTGTTCGAAACAATATTACAATGACTTCCTGTAATTTTCCTGGGAGCATTTAAAAAACAAAAAGCAGTTAATGATTTAGAGCTGCTTGAAAAAAAAAAAAAAGACGGTCCCAGGAGAGAAAAGTCGATAACCACAGCCCTTCTCAATGAATCGAATCTCTACAATATACAGACATACCTTTTTACCTCGGTTCCTTTTCTCAGTGCCTTTCACTTTCCATCCTGGCTTCCTCCTCTCCCCACAGTGCACATCGTATCAGCTATAAAAAGCTAGACTAGAAGGCCGCCGGGATACAATTAGGAAGCAACTTAAAGGCTCTCACACCATAGACAGCCCTCTGATGACCACTGCACTGACCCCATGTTTATTAGATTGACCCTTGCCTGGAAGCATTAATGGAGATGGTGTGTGTGCATGTGTGTGTGTTTATGTGTATGATTGTAAGCAGGTATAGGGTTTTGGGCTGAGAGGGAATTTGGGTTTCAGGTACCAGTGGTATGTTTGTGTGTGTGTAATTTGCGCGTACGAGTATATAAGGGGGTTCTCGATCATTCTGAGACAGGGGTTTGCACTGCACGCTATATAGCAAGCAGATGGCAGTCAGTGCCTTGGGTCAAATTTACTGGCCTGGCAATCATGGTAGTCAATAACCCAGCACTCCCGGTGACTCCACTACCTGTGTAGGGCTCATCATAACACCTATCCCTGGAAACAAAGACACAGCCCTCTCACACCTCTAATCTATCATTTATATCCAATTTGAGGCACTGTGATCTTTTTATTCCACCTCTTCTATTCTCCCTGTCTCATTGTTCTCTCTCTCACTTGTATTTTTACTTCTGTTTTGTCTCTTTTCTTTTTTCTGCAGAAGCGATCAATGCCGCAGCACTTTCCAGTTCATCTTGAACTAGCGGTGAACTCCAGAATGCCGCCAGCGTCTCCACCCTATCCCATCGCAGTTCAGGGTCACCAGGGGGGTGTCTCTGTGCCGATATGCAAATAAGCCCGTGGCCCTTCAGTGACTCTGGCGTTAAGCTCCACCCCTTCTATATGGTAGAAGCTTTGAAATAAAATCCTCTCCCCCAGACAACCTTCGCACACACACACAGATATAAACCCACTCTCATGTAGACTTAAACAGGCCTTTAAAACTTCCATCCATTCCTCCTTTAATAGCCAAAGCGTGTTGAACCTAATGGATGTTGTCATAGCTGAGATGTGACCACTGATTTAGAGGAGGAACCCCAGTGACCAGGCGAAGAGAGGCAGAGATGAGAGGGAGAAGAAGAAGACAAGCGAGAGTTATGTCAGCTACACCACAAATCAAAGTAATATCTTTTAAAAATTGTGGAAATCGATGGTGTCATCTGGCTGTATCTTGTGGGTAAAGGAAACCCATAAACAGCCAATTAGCTGATAAGCAGACTGTTTTTTTTCCTTTATGAAGAAGTGATTTTATGTATTGGCAAAACAGCGTACAATGGACAAAGAGCTCACCCTTTTTAACTGTAACGTGTATCCTGTATTTAAACTAAAGTACACTGTGTAGCTGTTTCGTACTTGCGAAACAATTAAGTTGCATGTACAGATTTTAACAAGTTTACAGTAATGACATTAGCCTAATAAAGTTTGTTTTAAATGCAATAACGGTTTCATTCATTGCCGTTTCAATAATGATGCTGTCGAGCTCCACGACACTGGGTATCGTCACGGGGAATACAGAAAATTGTCTTTAGTTTTAACAGGGTTTATAATTACACTGGAGGAAAAAACAAACCAACTTAGATTAATATTGCACGTAATGATGACCTACAGGTAAGGCAACGCATACACACGACGATGTTTCACTGTTTCCCTGTTTCACTCTAAGGCAGCAAAGAGCCGGTACAGAAACATGTCCTGTGCCGAGAGCTCCCTTATGTGCTCCGTGCTCCAGTCATGGAGCAGTTTCAATGTAGCGCCTGACCAGTGCCCTGTGTTTGACCATTTTGTGTGTGTTGTTTGAGCCTGGTGAAGCTGCCTCATTATGTGACAGACAGAGAAGAGTATTTGATCCTGGATATTTGGCCTCCTCTTCTCTGTCACAGCCACTGGAGCCCTCTCAAGGTAATTGACTGACTGTTTGATCTCCCTCTGACTCTGCGCTGCTACAAGATGCTGCCACACACACATAAACACATTCATCAATTGTAAGTGTCTACTCATGGATGGAACACACACATACACACATGCGGGCACAAACACACACGTATACTCACGCACACAGTTGTTATCATTTGTGTGCAGTGAGGTAAGGGAACAGAGGAGGAGATTTTTGAGCTGAAAACAAGGAAATTCCTCCATAGCTATGGGCCATGCTTTCTTCCCTGCGTACCAAACGCTGCATGCTGTTACAAATGGTAATCGGCTCTGATTGTCACAAATTTCAAAACAAACGCTAGGTGACTGAAAAGCCAAAGTGACGCCCCGAGTGATACTCCAACAGGAAGTGCAAATCAAAGCATGCCGACTATAATTAGGTTCCATCTGGGCTACATTATTTAAAGCCGCAGCAGTTAATTGCTTGTGTACAAATGGCCTATTTTATTTGAATCAAACTCTTTTTTTTTGTGATTCGTAATTACACTGATGTGAAGGGGGCATATCTCTTTGCCTCACTTATAATATAAATCCATATTCAAATTATTAAGAGTACTTTGAGGCAGGGGGAATGTAAAGTGATGATACTTTTCTTTGTGAGAATTGAATTTCTTTAAACAATTATGACTGCTTAATCAAATATGCTGACATTTGGGTTAAACATTTAATGAGCTTCAATTAAAAAAAGGAGATGAACAACGATATAATCACGGAAGAAAATACTTTAAAAAAACAGAAAACCTAACAAGACTAATATACATGATATTATTTCACGCTGAAGCAAACATTTTCTCATTTCCTCTTGTCAACGTTTTCATCAAAAAAACCAAAAAAAACCCCACAAACAGTGTATTATCTTATCAATTTCCTATTGACGGTAACCTAAGCTTTTGTTTTATCTCGATGTGAGGTAGAGCAGTGCACTGTGGTGCGGGCCTGGGTTGGTTGTAACCTTAGTCAGGCAGCTGTTTGTGGAAACTATCTGTTGCATGGATCAGCGGAGGAGAATCGCTATCTGTATCCTGGTTGTCAGACGATCGGATTTCTGTCCCTGACGCTCTCTGATATTAGATGATCTTCCGAGACTACGTGCGCAGTGTGCGCTGGCACTGTGTGTTTGCGTGTGTCTGGTTGTCCACATGCAGTGCACATAACTGACATACAGTCAGCTATGCTTGTTGTCACTTTGCTTGCCAACATGCCTAAAGGTCAAGAATGTCATTTCGTCCCACATGGCTGTCTGTAAAGGGGGTGTGACATGTTGCCACAGGAGACGAGGTCAAAGAGAGCCCGGGCAGGTGACAGGTGGTCTGCAACACCACCAGAGCAGCTCCGTCCTCTGTAACAAAACATGAAGACTATGTTTTCAGTCAAAAAATGTATTAAATTAAATTTTACTCTCCCACCCATTCCCTGCCACTATTCCCTGATCTCCATTTAGGATGAAGACAACAAACCCAGGAATAACTGTGTGTCTTCAAATAAAAATCAGCTTGATCGGAGCAGAAACAGCCATAAATACATCAAGACAAAAATACTAAAAAACAGAACTCATTTCATCAAATCAGTAATACCACTGTTGCTTCTTGACTTAAATTCATTTTTAATGCTTGTTGGTAAGTGGGGTCTGCCCAGCCCCCGTCTCTCTCATACTGCTTTTAATTACTTTGCTTATTATTGTGTGTTGTTGTTAGACAAAAACAAGGCAGAACTCATTACACATCCAGAGATGAGAAACCTGAATCAGTACCTACAGGGGCCGCTGAGGGGGCTCTGTATTTAGTTAGAATAAAATGCAAACAGAAGAGAGACATAGAGAAACAAAACCGAGTGAAAACACAGTGAGCGGAGGATATCACATTAACTGGTTGAAATCATGACCACACATAAGCTACTTTGAATTCAAGTAGTTCATATGGAGAGTGGAACTTGTGACAACAAAGACTGCACAAAAGACGGTGAAATTCTGTATTTTTTTATTACTTACTTCTCATTTTGTTAATCCCTCCAGCCTGTTATGTTTCCTCCCTACAGAGACACTGAGATTGCACTGAGTGCTTTTTTTATTTTAATGTGAATGAGTGGCCTTGGCCGTCATAAAGGACCCTTGCTTTTATGGACTTGGAGCAGAGTATTTACAAGATAACCCTGGTCCAAGGACTGTGCAGGCTATTTGATACCAGTGTCAGACTCTCCTGACTCTTCTTCAGTAAAAATCGAAGCCTGAATAATCCTTTGCCTCTACAGCACCTCTCAATGTCAGTTGTTTTACTCATCTCTGCTTAAAAGGGTTGAGATATTTTGGAATATGTGCTTAGCCATCTGTGTGTCGCTTTAATCAACATTTTGTATGTACCTTTTCTATCTATCTATCTAAATACTATACTCAAGTTTACAAGTTTAATGTGGAAAAAAGCTAGCTCAACAGTTAGCTCTTACAGAAACAATTGGTAAGATGTAGAATAAAATCATTCAATTAAATTCACAAATGAAATTAATGAACCACAAAATTATCATAAAACATTTAAAACTTTAAACATATGTGAATTGGGGGCATCATTTGCATGCTATTTGGAAGAGTTGGCTTGCTAATTTATTTATGGTGACAAAGCAAGAAGAAAATTAGTATAGAGTCAGTGACAAAGCTATTTAAAATATATGAACTAGTTTTGACAGTATAGTCTGAACCTTCTGTTCTCTAATTATTAAAACACTAAGAATTGTATAAATTTGTAAATGCCTAGTTGGGTAATAAAAAAAATGTCAAAATTATCAGTTGGATACACAAATTTTCTTATGCCCGTATGACACGTCCAAGTTTAATTCCATTTTTGTGTGTGAATTTTACAACATAGTATAAGGTCTGCACATGTACCTGTTGATTCAGTGTGAATATGTGACATAAACACACACACACACACACACACACACACACACACACACACACACACACACACACACACACACACACACACATAAAAAAAGAGAAAAAGACCGAGTGTACATGCACATGTATGTTTATGCAAGGGCCTTGTTGGGAGTGCCACCCAGACATTAACACTGTAAACAGTGCAGGCCTCCGTCCCTGTCCGGCCCCTTTGTTCCATCTCCGCCACCATTGGTTGGGACTTAAATGGCAAACACTCGGGGGCTGCTAGCTCGCCTGACACGGTTTTGTTTTTGGCCTATTGAGGGGCAATGGAGAGCTTTTGTTTCTATGCCCAGGCACAACGTGTCTCAAAAGCAGCATGGCTGAAAAGAGAGGCCCCCACAAAGACTGTGCATTAGTGGAGGCACTACACGCATGCATATATGTGCAACTCAAATGGGACTAAGCACGGACACACACACACACACACACACACACACACACACACACACACACACACACACACACAATGCCTTGCCAAGGGTAGGATAGGCCAGGCAACTTTGGCCAGACAGGATGGAAAAGATGGAGTGGGGTTAGAGCATGCGCACAAGAGAATATGCTAAATGCCAGACTGCAAACTTACTACTTCGCTACATTTCATTCACTCCTCATTCACATAAATACACAAACACCTATAGTCCACTTTATTGCAGTAAAATCTGCTGCACAAACCTCTCTTGCACTTCCAAGACAACAACAGGCATAGAGAAACACACACTCACACCAACACATCTACGATATTAGAAATACACACATCACTCAGTCACAAAAGAGTTGAAGGAGGACAGGGCTAAGAGAGGCCCCCTTTGCACCTGTAAGAAAGACAGGGCGCATTCAGAATCTGTGGTCTCAGAATAGACAGCCTTGAGTGTGAGAACCCCCATTCATACAAGGCTATGGTGATCGCACACACCTTCATACAATTCTCATTCACAACACATGTTGCCTAAGGTCTATAGAAGAATCTAGCAAGGGGACTAACAGTACTAATGTAAGATTGATGCAATGCATGGTATAATCTTTATCCAGCTAAAAAGCAGTATACACTGACAGCAGAGAATTTGCAGTATATATATCAATATGCTTTGTAAAGCAGTCTCCCACTTGTTTTCTTTATATCAACCACATAATCATATAAATATTTCTATCACACTACACCTGATGCTTACATTGGATACACCGACAAAAAAATCCCTTGTTTCTTCACAACATCACCGGTAATATTGGCAATAAAAAAGTATTAAGTGCCTTGTAGATACAATTGCCATGACTAGCAGTTTGCTTAAATGGAAATAATCTTTGTGTTGTGGATGCAAATGTGGGATATACAATGACACATATACATATATAAACATATATGACAAAACCTTTGTGCACTATTACTTTCAAGCCAAACAATTTAAAATTCAAGCATTTTTAAATGACTGTGCTATTACGTTAACAATAGTATTCTCCATTATGACTAAGAAACAAATCCTTTAGGGACACTGTAAAGTAAAAACAACAAAATTGGATACAGCTGTGATCAGTTGAACACATATTTGATTTCTTATTGGACAAATTCCATGAACAT